GTCGCGGATCCCTATCATAATGGATACGTAGGCAACATTTAAAAAGGCACAGCTATTTATAAAAAAAATAGATATATTTTCCCGCGCTATTTTTACTACTTATCTTTTCATTTTATTTCCAAAGTTTTTCGCACGGTGACTTAAATGTATGTCCGTTCCCGACTCATTATGCATTCCACAAACGAATCGGTCTGAACAACCGATCCTAACTCAAGCCAAGGTCAAAGTCGTACTTTCCAAAAATGCCTAAGTATATTAAGCCGAGCCAGACTCGCACACTTAGTCGTGTAACAAACAATCATAAGCCGACCTCAGGGTCGCGAACAGAATCTCGGAGGTCCCGACCCTCAGGATACGACCTAGATACTCTTAAGTATGTAAGCCGAACTATCTTCACTAACTTAGCCGCATGACGGTTTATCAGCACAGTACAACTAAATATTTAAAATGGAGCCGCATTTTAAAGCAGATTAGTATTACGTCAAGTTCAAGAAGGTGGGAGAAAAGAAACGCCCTGAACCCACCCGGACTTAGAGCAATTCCATGTTTTAATAAATACAAAACAAAATACTAAGGCCACAGATGGCCCGATCAAGTTCCAAAATAAAGAAAGGGGAAAAGAATAAGAAGCTCAAGGCTGAGCAGCCTCATAACAGGATTTCCAGAGAGCTAGGCGAGAGCCTCTCTAGTAACAGGATCTTTCACGACCTCCGCCCTATTACTACTAACGCCCCTGGGCAAAACCTCAGCCGCAAAATCTTGAGGCGACATGTGTGACTCGTACTGATTAAGAGAAGCCGCCGCATCAGACATAATCCTCTCCACAGAAGGCTCGGGATTACGCGGTAGTGTGACCTCGAAGTCCGCTTCGGTGATCTCCACAACGTCAAGGGCCTCTAGCTCAGCAATGAATTTGGCCTTGTCCGCCACAAGGCTTGAAGCCTCACCTCAAAGACCGGTGCTCCTGCCTCCCTGAACTCCTCGAGATAAGACTTTATCCCTCCCGACTGGTTCGCCAGGGAGGATATGCGGTTGACCTCCTCCATATCTTTGCAGTATCGTTTAAGTTTCCCCAGCCGCTCTTGCTACCTAGCCCGCATGGCCGCCTCAGCATTGCTTACCTCAATAGCACAGGTCTCTTTAAGCCGTGCTATCTCTTCATCCGCCCACGACTTCACATAAGCCTTCTCCGTTTTCGCCGTGGCTAAGTCCTCCTCAAGCTCCCGATTCCTCAGCCTGACATCCTCAGCCTTCTTAGTCAAATCCTATGACAGCACGTTCTGCTGCTCTATTTCCTTTTTCAGCTTCATCACCATATCGTAAGCCGTATTCAGCTTTCGATCGTATATCGTCGCGATGTTATTGGTCGCGACAACGGCCTACACATTGGGAAACAAGTAATCAAAAAAAACCCCAAAGAAAGCCGGAGTGACCAAAATAGATCAGAATGGAAAATCACCGCACCTGCAAGAAGAAGCCGGCCCAATCAACATAGCTGTCTTTTTCGACTAACTGATCCAGTCGGGAAGCTCGTATTGTCGTTAGGCCGGATTTTTGACATAAAGTCAGCACAGGACCTAGGCGAATCCAAGATGTGCTTTCTCGCTCCTTTGAAGGAGTAGGCAAAGTTGTAGGCACCAAGAGCGGCCTCTTCTTGTTATTGCGCGGCATCCCCCGATTCCACTTCGGGCTCCTCAGCCGTTAAAGACAAACCTTCGCCACGGGATTCCTTCGAAGCTTGGCCAGCAGAGGAGTCCTTCATCCTCTCTCTCTTCTTCTTCGAAGAGTCGAGCACCAGCGCTGCTGTAATCGGAGATGCCAACCTCAATTCCTCAGCCGCCTTTTCAGATGCGACCAAGGCGGAGCGCTTCTCCATCGCCTTCTTAGCAAGAGAAGCCTTTTTCGACCCCTCTGGGGCTGAGACTGGGGAAACATCTCCTTGAATCGACTCTTATGGGTAAGCAAGCAAGCTTGTGGGTTCACGATCGGATCCGATCGGATTGAATCGACTGTTATGAGACTAGGATCTTGCACTTTGTTGAATAGAGTGATTTGATTTTGAGCTGGTGCATTTGAGTTTGCTATAGATATTTTTTTTAATGAAAGGAAGCCTCATATGTGTTGGAGA